ATAGGTCTCCCCAGACCGACCCACTGGCTGTGAACATTCTAAACTAACACGAGTCTCATTAAGTGTCCAGTTTAAGGGTATTGCACAGAAACATACCAAGGGAACATGAATCAAATATGTATCTTTATTCATTTACAATAAACTTATAAAGTACATCATTCCGATTGAAGCTAAGGGCATACAAAACTGTCTAACAACCTATACAAATTCCAGGCTTGGAATTGGTAATTTGGGAGCAATACCAATTGTAAGCCCACCCCAAAATCCAAATCAGTTTCTTCTATTCCTAATTGATCTTACCTATACAAAAGTCAAAAACTGTGATAATTGAAAGCAATGAATAAGATCTTACCTCAACCTGCTTGTCGGCTACAGCAAGATGTAGGACAGCAGTATTGCCATCAGCATCCCGGACGTTTACAAAATTATTGGGGTAAACTCATTAAATCCAGCAGCTGCTCCAACACATTCAAGCGCCCATGCTTGACACAGAGGTGCAGAGTGGTCTCACCAAGACCCACAAGTTCATGAATCGTTCCTGGTTTCTTCTTGACCAGCTCTTTAATTACTTCCACTTGGCCTTCAATTGCTGCTAGATGGAGGGGAATCATTCCATCTGCATCGCGAGCAAGGCAGAGGCCTGGGCCAGAATCTTGATCCAGCAAAGCTTTCACGATTTCAACGTGCCCTGCTGCTGATGCAATGTGAAGCGGAGTATGTCCAAGTGGGTCTTTGAGGCGAGCGAGTTCAGGCTTGCGGCTCAAGAGCAGTTTAGCAAAATCAACGTGACCGAGCGTTACTGCTATGTGCAAAGGAGACTCTTTGATGCAACCCACAACCACTATCAAGAACTAGATCGTCTTTTACAAGTAAATCGGACAAAGACTCTGCATTCCCTTGCAATGCTGCTTCACGAAGCTGTCTCTCCATTTCCATGCTTTGAAGAACCCCTTCCTCCATTCTGTTGCTCTTTCTCTTGCTCTTTTTCTCAAGAAGCTCTGTATCTCCATTAATTGCTCTCTGTTAAGTGAATCGATTCAAGACTCAAAAGTCAACTGCTAAGCCGCTCATCACCACAGTCAAATTATTGGGTGAAGTCATGGAAAAGGATGGCCAAAACTGAAGTCGCATGCGACAATGGTTAAAGAAAAAGAGATGCCAGCTCAAGAGTAAGTACTTCGCCCTGAAACATAGAAAAACGGCTGACATCAAACTTGCATATTTTAATAGAAACAGGTCAACTGAACAGGCTGGTTTTGCCAATATTATATGCAATTACTAATTAGTCTCCGGGACGCTGAGCGAAATTTCTAATTTCCCTCCACTCCAAAGTTCAGTCCCATTTACTGACTGCTTCTGAATAAAATATATGGCGTGATCTGATTCTCTACAACTACAACTACAAAAATCTGAAAATCAAACGCATATCGACATACAGGAGTCAAAATTTCAGGCTACTGATAAACGAACACGGTAGAGTTTGCTGAGGATATGGTTGACTGCGGCACGCTCTCGTATGATCAATACCAAAAGATAATATATTAATTTGATTTTCTCTTGCAAATGGTTCCTACTCCTATGGAAGGAAATTGCTTCGGTAACTGGGGCTGAAGTTCAAAAGTACCCTTCTTCTTCTTTCCCTTTCATGGAGCTCTACCGCTGCAGCCCAATCCACATGAAAGGAAATGAAGGACAATATAAAAGACTGCAATAATCAATCTCAGCTCTCATCTGATGGGGTATTAATATAAAAGATTGTAACGAAAAGAACGAACATGTATGGAATTATAACCAGGAATCGGTTGGGATTTGCTTCTCGGAAATTGTTTTTATTAACCTAGAACCCATTTTACACATGAAAAATCAAGATCATGGATTCAAAACAGTAAAGACTTTTGCTCATTCACCACCAAAAAATGAATGAAAATCAGAAGGACATGGTATTAGATGTTCGTGGCAGGACAGTTACTTATTCAGCTTAATCACTTGAGCATGATGAGAAAACCTCAAGACATCGGCACTGGTTCAGCAGTAAAATTCATGAAAAACTAGACTGCATAAAGGCCACCTTCGTTTTTTGGTTTTTTGGTAAGTGCAGGCATCTGGGTAAGTTTTTCCATGTATTTATCCATGTTCTTTTATTTCTCATGTAAATAAGACAATGACCATTTTAATCATAAAAATTCATTATTAAAAAGGGCATTTTTGCCCCATTCAAATGTTGGCAACTTCCCCTATATGTTAAAGTTATTTATAAAGTTATCTACCTACCTAGGAGATGGGTAATACCTAAAAAATTCCCACATAAATCTGAAAACAAACATGGGATTCTTGCTTAATAAAAACAAAATCATATTGACTAACTTTCCCCCTTTCAAAATCCAAAAAATGAACACCCCCAAAATCTTACTTATGATTATATTTCAGAACATGAAAACGAACAAAAGCAAAAGGATTTCTTCATTTGGGAGGAAGCACAACCGAATGGCTAATGTTTGATGTGGTTTTGACCTCAAGACAAGCCAATTAATAAAACATCAGCCCCCATGAAGCCCAAAAATAAAACCAAAAAAAAAAAAATCTGAACCAGAGCTCCACTCAACTACATACACTCAATCAACTTCCTAGATAAACAATTATACAAAAATACATATATAAACCTTTCTTCTTTTCTTAGGCTTCATTATCAAGCAGAAGCATCGTTGCTATTCCTTTTCTGAGGCGTTGCAAAATTTTTCAGCCGTGTTGGAATCAGTTTCTTGGATAATTTAGCCATGTCCACATTAAACCGTAAAAGGATGAGCCGAACAGTGTGGCCCAAGAGAAGCAATGTCATCACAATCGACCAAGCAGCGATTGCCACGGACAGTTGGTTATCCATTTTTCGCAACACATGCTTCGGGGTCAAGGCCAATAACGAAAACAGGTAAGTAAAGGCCATGGATGTGATCGCCACCCACAACGCCACCATCAGAATCCACATAAACGGCCTATTCCTCCATGGTAACCCGCTTACCAGCAATAGGATTATGCTCAGAGAGGCAACAAAGCCTGTTGTGTTGAAACGGAATAGTCGCCGGAAATTTGTTCCGTTCTTATAGGCTAGTATGGCCTTGCCTGCTTTATGCCAACTTGGATTGGTGAGAGGATCCCCTGGACTGTCATCTTGCCACACACCACCTGGAGGATTTACTGCCACTTGAAAAGCCATGGTGGCGATCAGTACTGCCACCACCATTAACGTTTCTCTCTTCTTCTCCATCCAGTTTCTCTTGTCCCTTCTGTCCTCTTTTTCCTGTACCGTGCGGACTTGGTCTAGGGTGGCCGTATCTCTGGGCTCTGAGATGGTTCCATTTGGTACAACTTGGAAGGGATTGTGCTGGCCTTGTATGGTCATCATATAGCCGCCTGGTGGTGGTGGTGATGATGGTTCTGTGATGGCTCGACCTTGCCCAGCTAGGGCGGGGGCTTGGACTTGTGTGGTTGTGCCGGCCTGTGCCGGGTCTTCATCTCGACTTTGCAGAGCCTTTTTGATGTCCTCGTCTTTGGAGTTGTCCTTTGGACTTTGTGTTAAAACATCATGCGCTGTGAAGGAGTTTTTATTCACAGAATCAATTTTTATTTCTGTGTTGTTAAGCAAAAATTTGATGATCTGCGCAGTTAAAGCAACACGTTTTAGTCCAGAAATTAAACTATATGATACGTCAGAGTCTGGAACAAAAAGAATTGACATTTGGTACAATTGGGCTAAAACCCTATCCCGTTTAGGGTAGGGGTTGGGACAGGCTACCCAATTAAGCCGAATCACTGAGACATTGGTGGCATTCTACATTCCTTGGTGCAAAGACCCTACCCACAGGCCACAGTAACTGGGGGATGATCATGGGCTAGGCCCGTGATTCATTTACCATAGGCAATCGGTCATGTGCGCTTACGTGTTAAGTTGTTAGTAGTGATATATCATGGGCTGGGACGAAATGGGCTTAGCATCTTGGAAGAGGACGCCACTGATGAAGAAGCTGGGGTTGTGGAAATCCCATTCGTTCAATCGCCCTATTTTATGATGCCGGAATGGGGTTGGGCCCAGGATGGGCTTAGCATTGATGCCCGGAATTCCGGAAACAGCTGGCGCTACAGGAGCCCGCCCAGGCTGGGTTAGGCATTAGACGCGAAAAAAGAAAACCTAAATATTATTTTGTCTGATTTGCTTGGAATTGGAATGAATTAGATACAGGAACCCCGAAATGTTATTGTTCGGATTAATTACAAGGTTGAACTGCAATTGAATAGACTTCTTAACGGCATTTTGTCAAATAGTTCAGAGGTGTGAAAAAAATTTTTGTAACTATTGTAAAGAACAATCGAGAGGAATTTTCCACCGTCACCAAGAAACCAAAGGACCAAAAACGTTAGATCGTCGGCAACATGGATATGCAGCGCTGTAGATGGCCGGAAGTTGCACAGAACAAGAACCAGGTCAAGAAAGAGAAACAGAAAGTTACAGACGACAAGTGTGTAGCAGTGACATGCCTGAGTAAAACGGGAAATTGGAAAAAAAAAAAAAAAGAAAAACAGGCAAAGGACATGCCGGAGCAAAAGGGGAAATTGAAAAAAAAAAGAAAGGAAAGATGCTGGAGCAAAAACGGAAATTGGGGGAAAAAAACGTTCCTCTCCTCAAGCATTGGTTTTGGCCTATATTTTGTTCTACGACTTGTTTAATTCCAGGCTTAGAATTGGAAATTTGAGACCAATTCCAATTGCATCTCCTCCCAAAATCAGAATCAATCCCTTCTATTCCTAATTGCTCTTACAGGAATCTCTATACAAAACACAAAACTGTGATAATTAGAAGCCATGAATAAGATCTTACCTCAACCTGCTTGTCTGCTACGGCGAGATGCAGGACAGTATTGCCATCAGCATCCCCGACGTTTACATACTTATCGGAGTTACCCATTAAACCCAGCAGCAGCTGCAACACATTCAAACGCCCATGCTTAACACAGAGGTGTAGAATGGTCTCACCACGACTCACAAGTTCAAGAACTGTTCCAGGTTTCTTCTTAACCAGCTCTTTAATGACATCCACTTGGCCTTCAATTGCTGCTAGATAGAGAGGAATCATTCCATCTGCATCGCGAGCAAGGCAGAGTCCAGGGCCAGAATCTTGATCTAGCAAAGCTTTCACGATTTCAAGGTGCCCTCTTTCTGATGCCAAGTGAAGCGGAGTATGTCCTCGTGGGTCTTTGAGGCCAGCAAGTTCAGGCTTGCAGCTCAAGAGTAATTTAGCAAAATCAACGTGACCGAGCGTTGCTGCTGTGTGCAAAGGAGACTCCCTGATACAACCCACAATCACTCTATCAAGAATTAGACTGTCTTTTTCAAGCAAACCAGACAAAGATTTTGCATTCCCCTGCAGTGCTGCTTCACAAAGCTGTCTCTCTATTTTCATGCTTTCAGGAAGCCCTTCCTCTATTCTCTTGTTCTTGCTCTCAAGAAGCTGCGTGGATCTCCATTGTTATATATATATGTATATTCCTCTGGCTTCCGCCGTTGAATAGATCAATTCAAAACTGGAAGTCACCACTCATCAGAGTCAAGTCGTTGGCTTGAAGAGAAGACAGCTCGAGTGTTGTCGCTCATCTGAAACAGATAAAGCGGCTGGCAAAAAGCAATTATTAGCATCTGGGCCCATCAAATTGTCATATCTATTAATTCATCACTCATTGGCGCCAAAAAAAAAAAAAAAAAGATTATAATATTCCGACACGGTAGAAGCAATCGATAAAAAAATATATTGTTGACTTGCTCCTGGCCATGGCCATGGCGAGGAGCTAGCTTCTGTGGTATTACTGTTTTGTGGCTTTAAGAGTAGCTTGATATGTCCGTGTGGGGCCCTCCTCGGAAAGCCAGAAGCTTCCACACTTCAGCTCTCCTAAACAGGCAAAAAAATGAGATACAGTGATTACTGATTAGTGGCTGCTTGTGCATTGGTTGATTCCATGAAATTTCCAAATATTCTGTCTTTCTTTCCTTCTTTGACCATTTGGGGACCCTGGTAGCAACACAGAAACTGTGAGGAGGTTGTAAAGGAGGTAAGAAGAATTACAAAAAACCGTGCCCGCAAAGAAGAATCTCACAGTAACAACAAGATAAATTCCGAAAAGCTATGTATAGAAGCTTCACCCAAGGAAGAATACTGACACAATGGGGTCACACTCAGGAATTGAATTAGAACACTGTCTGTCTATCTGAGATTCTATCAATCTGGCTCTATGATCAAAGTCCCATGGTCCTAACCCATGTCGACTCAGAAAGTAATGAGAAAGTTCTCTATTTTGATTTTCAATTTTCGTTGCAGGATTAATGAAGGATTTCAGATTCATTAGCAGGAGTCAGTCATCTCACGGTTGGAATGAAGATCTCTGTTGGATGTTGGATGGAAGGAAACAACAACAAAGTGAAAAACAAAAGGAAACTCTTTCCATCGATCACTACTTACTGTCCACTTTTTGAATTTGAGACCAATAGACCCTACTACAAGTTTTTTAGGGCATCACCACAGACCACAACCCTTGTTTTTTCTCTTTTGAATTTGAGGCCACTGGACCCATGATTGAGAGACATTGGCCTATATTGTTCTCATATTAATTTTTTACCAAAGAGCCCTTTAAAATCTTAAATGTTGACCATCAGTCCACCATTTTTGGGTCCCAACTTCTTGCCTCCGTGAGCTTTTGGTGCAATACAAATCATTTAGCTAATGACACAAGTATTGCTTTTCTTACTATAATTTGTTGAAAGGGCTACAGTATTGTATTAACTGTTCAAAATACGAACCCCCTTGTATAAAAAGTTTTTGCACATTCATCAGCAAGATCAGGAAGAACCAAGAAAACCTATACACAGAAAAGTGTGACTGATTTCTCTAAAAGTTCTGCTTGCAGAGAGCCAGTTCCTGACAGAACAGAACAGACTGGCGAAATAGGAGTTCATGTAGCCGACCCAAATAGTTGGGATAAGGCTTGGATGATGGTGAGAGAGCCAGTCCCTGGTCAAACCAACAGAAAGATTAATTACATCTACATAATTCTTTTTCTCCTAAAAAACCTATCAACTTATTACAAACCATGTTGCCCAAATCATGGCCTGGGGAATCACCAACGATGCTGCTCTGCCCTCTTACTAAGCTCTAAACACATGATCCCCTTTGAGTGTCAACAACAGAATCAGGGTGGCATCCTTGCCGCTTAACTGCTTTCCGGTACTGGGGCCATAACCCTCCAGAAAAATATCAGCAGGAGATAACATGTTCTTGTAAGGAAACATTGATCAAAATTCTCTCTTTATTAATTGTAACAAAACTAATGAAGCAGGGATATGGAAACTGATTCATTTTTTTTAAACATCTACATGATAAATTACAACCCATCCTGACGCAGCGTGGAAGCACTAAACCGGGCTGGCTATGCAAGCATCGGGCGAACACAAGCTTCGTAGCGAAGCTAGATGTGAATCTCTAGAGGAGAGAGAAAAGTTGGCGAAAACTTGAATGTGTCCATCAACTAGGAAATAGCAGTATTTATAATACATCTAGAAAATTGTAGAGTAACTAGGAAAGAAGAGTTGTAATTGATCTAAACATCTAATCTTCTAGCTAGGATCGAAGTCTTCTTTGATGTTGCCTTGATCTCCACCGTCTGATCTCCCTGGGTCTATCCATGCATGGGTTATCCTGTCTTCTTGGATTTATCTTGAATCTTGAATTATCTTGAATCTTGGGATTATCCTTATCCTGCATGTGCTTCCTATCTTATGAGTTGTCGCCTAGATGATGAGATGGTCCTCCATCATTCTCCCCCACTTGGAAAGAACTCAACCCCGAGTCGTGGCTAGGATATGCAAGTGTTATCTCTAGTAGGTAGCGATGAAGGTCAGCAACATTAAATGTCTTAGAGATACCCATATGATCTGGTAAGTCCACGACATAAGCATTGTCATTGATTTTCTTTATGATCTTGTATGGATCGTACTTCCGAGGCTACAGCTTGTTATACTTTGCCACGGGAATCCGTTCCTTCCTCAAGAACACCATAACTTCATCACCGACGTCAAACACTTGGTGCCGACGATGCTTGTCTGTCGCCATCTTGTACTTTGCATTGGTTTGCTCCAGTTTCTGATTTACGGCGTCTTGGACGGACTAGATCTGGTCTGCCAGCTGTTCTGTAGAGGTACTGAGACCGGGTACTTTGGGTAGCTTCACTAAGTCCAGTGCATGATTAGGGACCTTCATATAGACAATGGAAAATGGAGATCTACTTGTAGAGCTATGGATTGCATTATTGTATGCAAACTCGACTTGTGCTATGGCAAAATCCCACTGCTTCGGTCTTTCCCTACAGATGCTGCGAATCAAATTACCAAGGGTCCGATTCACCACTTCTATCTGTTCGTCCGTCTGCGGATGGGCTGGGCTACTGAAATTTAATGATGAGTCAAATAGCCTCTACAGGGTCATCCAAAAGTGACTTAAGAACCTCGTATCTCGATCTGATGTGATGGTTTTAGGTACCCCATGTAAACGGACAATTTCTTTGAAAAATAGCTTGGTTGTCGCTGGTGCATCTGCTGTCTTCTTGCATGGGAGGAAGTGAGCCATCTTAGAGAACCTGTCAACCACTACGAAGACGGAGTCCATATTTCTTGGGGGTCCTCATCCTGGGCGTATAGGTCTTTTAAGCACTCAAAACCCACAATCTCAATACTGAGGGTCTTGATGAGGGCTACACGTCTACTAAGAGCATCAGTCACTGTGTTTTGCTGTCCAGCCTTATACATAATTTTGTATGGAAATTTATCAAGGAAAGCAGACCATCTTGCATGCAGATCACTCCTTAACTATTTTTGCTTACTGAGATACTTTAGGGCTTGGTGGTCGGTGTAAAGTGGACCACTTTCTCCGGGATTCACATAACTTTTCACTAAAGAAGGCAATGGGTCTCTTTTCTTGGGACAATACCCTATGCCAACTCCACTGGCATCACATTCAACTTCAAATAATTTATCAAAACTTAGTAAGGCAAGGACAGGAGCAATGCATAATTTTTCTTTTATGAGAGAAAAACTTTGCTCTTGTTCTTTTCCCCATTGAAATTTTCCCTTTTTCAAACATTCAGTGATGGGAGCTACAATACTGCTAAAGTGTTTAATAAATCGCCTGTAGAAAGTTGCTAACCCATGGAAGCGTCTCACATCTGTGACATTTGATGGGGTCGGCCACTTCCTAATGGCTTTCACTTTTTCTTCATCTACCTTAATTCCATCCTTACTTACAATGAATCACAGGAACAACAAATTGTCGCTCATGAAAGTGCATTTCTTTAAATTAGCATATAATTTGTTTTCCCTTAATGCTTTTAATACCTCCCTGATATGTCCAATGTGCTCAATGACAGATTTGCTGTAAATCAAAATGTCATCAAAATATACCACAACAAATTTACCAATAAAGGGACGCAGTACCTGATTCATTAGCCTCATGAAGGTGCTGGGTGCGTTGGTTAGTCCAAAGGGCATGACTAACCATTCGAACAGTCCATCTCTAGTCTTGAAGGTTGTCTTCCATTCGTCTTCGGGACGGATTCTGATCTGATGGTATCCACTCCTGAGATCGATTTTTGAGAATACTACAGCTCCATCAAGCTGATCTAGCATGTCGTCCAGCCTGGGAATGGGGAATTTGTAGCCAATAGTGATTTTATTAATATCCCTGCTGTCGACACACATCCTCCAACTTCCATCCTTTTTTGGTGTTAACAATGCTGATACTACACAAGGACTCATACTGACTTAAATATGCCCCTTTTTCAACAATTCTTCTACCTTTTCCCGTAAAATTTCATTTTCTTTAGGACTCATCCTGTAATGTGGGAGATTAGGGAGACTAGCACCAGGAACAAAATCAATGTGATGTTGTATATCTCGCATGGGTGGGAGTTCATTCGGTAACTCATCTGGAACTACATCATGGAACTCATCAAGTAGTCCCTACACTTCCACTGGAATTTTATTTTCCTACAGTGTCTCATTCATACTTTCTCCCTTTACTACCAACAAGTGTACCTCACGGGTATCCTTACATTCTTTTACAAATTCAGCATGGTGATGTGTAATAGTAAGGAAATTTTTCTCATCTGTTTTTGGAGCCTTTGGGGAATTCTTTTCAGCCATGGGTAATAGGGTGTAACATACACCATATTTTTCAAGTTGGTAGATATTCTTCCTACCCATGTGTTTTGCATCTGTATCAAACTACGAAGGCCTTCCTAACAAAATATGGCAAGCATCCATGTCTACAATATCACAATATACCTCATCAGAGTACTTACCAATGGGGAATGGGACCTTGCAGCGTTCCTCCACCTGTACGCCGCCGACTTCCTTGATCCACCCAATTGTGTATGGGTTTGGATGTTTTTCAGGAAGCAGTTGCAATTTCTATATGACATCCCTCCAAATATTATTTTCCTGACTGCCACTATCAACAATTAAATCAAATAATTTACCCTGTATAGTACATCTAGTGTGAAACAGTTGGTGTCGTTGAATGGTATCTTTGCTTCTTT